GCCCATTAAAATTCCATTGAGGAAAATTTGCATAAGATACTATGCATAAACCAAATAAATTATTCGTTTTATATTCGAATATGATGAGACTAGTATTTCTTCGTTCAAAATAATTATTTCGACGTACTCGTTAGTACATGATCTACGCGTATTTATCCACATTGATGTTGCAAAAAATTTAACTCTAATATTAGAGTTTCTGGAAAATATAGGAAATGTTAATCACCCTAATGCAGGCGTACGTGTACGTACGTCACGTGTGTATTATTATTCCATCTATTATAACGCTTTTACGCATGTACGTTCGAGGAAGAGGAACACGAGTTGAGAAAGTTCGTTTGTTATTGGAAAGTTTATAAACTAGTTTCTGGAATAGCTGGAAAACTTGAGGCGTGAGTCCAACTACTTATCGTAACGTGTAAACGATAAATAGCCGTTGATGCAGCTCCGTTGTCTCTTGGATCGGGCGTATTCATCAAGCAAGATGCAATTAACATTAACGAGAAAAAGGGTTGGCATAACTCGTTCTATGCAAATCACTCTCGGTGCCCTCGTTGCAAAATAGAAGAATTTTCCACGGTGTATCGTAGCGCGGGTATAAACAGACTTGTAGTTATATAAATCTTATTAGAAGGTAATCTTGTTTCTCGTAGTACACGTTCGTGCTTGTATCTTGATGTTTGTAAATCTTACGCGATACATTTTCAACGGGCGAACAAATTACGAAGTTTCTTGGTTAGGTTAACGGTAGAATGATGTTGGTGAGAATGGTTACTCATTTCTTCGTGTTTCATCTCAAATTCTTCTCCTCGAAATGTTTACTATAATTATAATCTATCATCCTGTGAAATGATTCGATTCTTCTCTTCCACTGAAATATTCTCGCGTCACGATTTTTAGCGAGACGTTTGAAAGATATCCTTCGAATCTGAAAATACTCGATATCGAAGTGCGTTTAAATCGAAAATACAAATTATATAACGATAAAATGTACGAAGATCGAAAAGAAAAATTAAGTAGCGAGTTATAGTTAGGTTAGGTTATGTTAAGTTACCCACTTACAGTTACCTACTATATTTTTAGTGCAGATTTGGAAAAAAAAAAAAGGAAATTTGCAATATCTAAAAAGTTTGGCACGTGTGTATGATCACGTGTCACGAGATGTGTATTACATTTATATGTACATTCCAGGGACCCTCTTTGTACATATTTTTCAAAGAGAATCGTAGTGTATTACAGATCGCAGTGGCGAAAAGTACGCCAAATGTTATATCGCTAAAGGGACCTTTGTGCAATTTAAAGCAAAGTCATGTATTACATAGATATTTCTTTGAGAACTATTCCTCCCCGGGAACTGCTCTACTTTTCGTTTCGTTGCTCTACTTCCGCTTAACATGGACTCGGCCGGTAAAAGTTTCTATCCCGAACCATACCCTGTTCCCAGGTATGAATACTTTTCTTACTTTTCACATGACCTACCAGTGCAATCTTCAGATTCTTTCTAAAGGAGAATAGGTAATATTTTCGTTCGTATTTTTTTCTTTTTTTTTTTTTTTTTATCGACTAATGTAACAACGTCGTTATAACACGTGAGTCGAAGAATAAATATATAAATGCAATTATATAATTACGATGATAATATAAGATTCTATGTAACTACGATATTGTGTAAAATTAAAATTCGAGGGTGCGATTCGATTATCGATCAGAAACAATCTCGACGGGTAGCAATCAAAGCCAAAGCCGGTAATCTCGTTTCCTTCTATAGCTATAGAGCGACGTATAGCTCTGGGGTAAATTCCTAAAATTTGTCCAATCCGACCAAGTTTCGACATTGAAGAGTTTACATTGTGGTCACGTATTTGAAACGGATGATGATAGTTGCCTCCTGCGGTTATTCGCGCTTCCATTGTTAAGATAAAATATCTATCCGGATAGATTTATAATGTTAAACTTAAAAAGAGACATTACAATTAATAATATAATAATAATGAGAAAAAAGAAAATAGAAATTGAAACGTGAAAATTAACGCTTTAAAAATTCATTTTAGAAATTATTATTTCCAATATTTGCAAAATTTGGATTTATCATTCCCATCGATTGTTTTTATTCGTTGAATTAAGATAATTAGAAAATAAACGTAAAATTTCGATCTTTCACAAAAGTCTAAAGCTCCTACGAAATACAATTCCGCAATTATCTCGAAAAATTACATATTTTACAGTTAGATACTCTTTTTCATTATCTCCCTTTTCATTATCTCTTTTCCCATTGTTTTTTCCATTATCTTTTCTCCCCGTTATCCAGAAGACAGGTAGCCCGTTTCGCTCTCTCGGGTTGAAACATTGAAAATCTCGAATAGAAGAGTTTAAGAAACAAGAGGTGTTTATATACGATGGTTAAAAAAAGTAAGGTTAATTATTTCCCCCCTCCCCCTCCTTTTTTTTTTCTTTCCTCTCCCCGGGCAAAAACGTTCTTTTCGTGTTCCCGACAGAATCATTTCCTTTTTCTATCCGGAGTACATTTCTTGCTCGAAGTGGTTAATTACGTGAGAAAAACATACCTCCTCCTCCTCCTCCCCCCTCCCCTCTTTTACTCATCCCTTTCTTCGTCCCCGCCACGAAAAGTAAGCAATACTTTTGTAACGATCCCATTTTAAGAATCGAGGAAACAAACTAGACGGCAATTATTCTTGCAATTGTACCTTTTGCGTTTTCACATTTCGAGATTGCCACTGTCACGTGTCCCAGGCACAGTGACTCCTTCTCGGTGAAACAATTTTTCGCGAGATTTCTCCCTGTCCCGTGTTACATTTCCGAGATAACAAAAAGATAAAAATAAAAAACCTGCCTCGGTATACGAAATAAACGGAAAAGTAATTGTTTCTGTCGTTAGTACCGTTTCCAACGAAATTACTTAACCCTCCATCGGTAATCTGGCTCCTTCCAGACACCTTACCTTCATCACTTTTTCCAAAGAAAGAATTATTTCGTTTGAAGAGAGAAAAAAAAAAATAAAAAAGAGCATAATGAAAATAACATTTGTGAAAATTATTACGAAAATTATTAGAGACGATGAAAAATTTTTGCAAATTTTTGTGAATATTTCTCGCCAAGATTGCTAACGATATTAATAAAAAAAATAATTGTCGGAGGATTTTTTTTTAGATGCTGCTCGTTTATGCTGGAAAGAGAGAAGAGAAAAATTCAACGTCAAAGATACATTAACATTTCCCATTGCATACGTACATATAACCTGTTGGAGATAACTTTGATCGATTCGATTTTTTAATATTATAATTTTAAATTTAACCTTAATTAAAATTTTGAAAAGCTGATATCATATTATATTATATTATATAGCAGATATCGAATAATAATTTTTATACGAAAAATAAATACAATAGCAAAAGTTATCGACGAAAAGAAGATAAAAATCTGTATATATGAAACGTTAATTAATTAATTTCATGTATTTTCTTTTTCTCGTGATTAATATCTCTTCTCTTCTCGTATTGACGTTAATAGCAATGATTTAATAATAAATAGATACGTTATATCTGTAGATAAGATACGTTAGTTCTCTCCATGTATACTCACTTATATATACTATATTATAAACGTATATATATTATATACGTAACCGAGACCTCTTGGAACATAAACTGCGCAGTCGCAATGAGCAAACTATTGTAAGATCACGTGTGCTTACGATCACGAATACGCTGGTGAAATTTCCAAAGTAATATTTCGGCTGGTCAGAGCGTAACAATCTCGTGAACTTTCCATAAGCAATTAAATTGTCTTGCCACGCGTCGGTGTAATTGATTCGATCAGCTTTGAGATCTGATATTAAATAGTTTCAAGATATTTATGTGCAACGCAAATAATTAATATTTCGATCGATACGGTGATGTTATTTCGTGATACAAAAATACAAAAATATCGATTGACGACTTATTTATTAAGCTGTAATTAATTGAAGTTTGCATTAGACGAAGAGAGATTCTTTCTCTGTCACACCACCGTTGTACTCTATTCCCGTTTCGCTTTATCTAAAGCTAACTTCAATTGCTCGTAACTTAATAAATAAGCCTCGACTGACATTTTTTACATTTGTTTCGAACTTTTCCAGGATTAATTCTTTAAATATATACGTTCCACGAATATATTAACTCTAGAATAGAATTTTAAAATTTGAGAATGATTGAGAATACGGATCATACGCGTGTTTAATCGAGTGATTTCTTCACGATAATCAACCATCTTTGTTTTAAGGTAAGAAAATCTTTTTTCAACGTCCATTCTTCTTAATCCCTGATTATCCAATATTCGAAAGTAAATACGAAACTGGAACGAAAGGAAAGAATTTTCTTTTCGATTGAAATTATAAAAATTATTTCCATTATAAAAAAAAAAAAATCAATATTCAAAGTAAATGAAACGAAAAATGAGACGTGCATATTCGATTCACGGTAATAATGATACGATCTCGTCTACGTATTCGAGTGTACTGTATTTCTGCTGATCGCAGCGTTGAATTTACGAATCGGTGTATTCCAAAATGGTACAGTTGCGGCATAATAGCCGACGTACGAGAAAAAGAGACATTTAGTGCACTTAGATGCGTGATCTATCGACCACGGGCACTCGAGCATCGACGAGTTGGGTGGTACTCCACTCTTTTTCACCGCTTCAACCCATTTGCCTTGATCTATTGGCCTCCTTCGAATATATACGATTCGCGGAATGGCCAACGTGACATATCTGTTTGCATCTTTCGTTAATTGTTATCGCGAAATAAAAGGATGATATTGAATTAAACATGAATTAGAAAAATTCGTATCTAACTGTTGTAATTTAATAGTCGATAGTTGAAGAACGTGATAACAATATGCGAGGATTGGAATACCAGATTTCTGAAAAATTTTAATGAAACGTGTGCCATGAAATTTGAAATGGAATATAAATAAAAATGAACAATTTATCGGTCCGATACGGAAGACAAATATACAAACGAAGTTCGGATTTACTTGTTGAAGTTTTAAAATATTTTAAAATATTGCATGTCAAATATAAATGTTTATTCAATGGCTAAAAATTTTTCGCTGCCTTTTCTACACAAGTTAGTTATATTACTTTTTATTTTATGGATACATATTGTATGTATATGTATCAATGTATTTTGTTTTGGATGACGGGACAAGTTAAATAAAATAAACGCTGCAAATCACAAACGAATTTCATAAATTTATTCCGAATATATTTTTATATTTCCACCATATTCTTCTTCTATTCCTCTTCTCTTTTGTTTAAACTTTTATTTTTAACAAAAGTATTTCTTGTAAAATAATTGTTGAACTATATATCTACGTGTAATTTAAACTTCTTTTGATCTTTTAATAGAGCGTTGTACCTCGAACGAAAATCGATAAGTGATCTCAAATAACCTTGAGACAAAGCAACGCATCGTCTAGATTAATTCTATCGATTGTGATACTTGAAGCTCTTGATTATAAAGAGCGAATATCGCGACGAAATTTCATCGCGAAGAAAGATCGAATGAGTGCAACTTTTTTTTAATAAAACTTTTATTTATAAAAAATTATTTACCATTAATAGAATAAATTCCCTTGGATCGAAAATTAAATCCTTAAACGATGATAAAAATGATAAAAAAATATATATACTCGGAACGAAAATTCGCGCGTCGTTAAAAGAGCATAGAATAGACAGAGAAGAAATGCGTTGAAGAGTGGCATAACTTTGACAATAGGAGAGAGAAGATTGCTAGGAAAGACGTGGAGGAAACCGCGAAAGTCAAAGCAGAAAAGGCAGAGGCCAAGCCAAAAGAGAAATGAGAGATGTATGTATGCAGGTGTGAGGGAAAGGAGAAAAGCATTCGGTAATGATTGGCGCACGTTCGTCGTAAGGAGAAAGAAATTTGAATAGGTTGCCGAGGGCGTAACAACGTCCTAGGCCTTGTACACCTTGCTTCGCCTCACAGTTATAATTCTCTCTCTTTCTCTCTGTCTCCTTTTCCTTATCGCTCATGGTCTGACATAACGGCTCTGAGCAACGGTCGAGTTCAGAACTACTCTAGTAACCTCAGCTTTATCTACGACCACGATTCAAATTAACGAAACAAAGAGGCGAACCAAGAGTACGTGGTTTTTCCCTCTTAAAAATTTCACGGCCAGCGATCGCTTTCTTTCTGCTCGTTACGTTTTAATTTTGATAATTACATGATATTCTTAAAATTTTCGAGTTTGGGATCGTGCTTTGTAGCGTCGATGTCTAACCATAATATTGTTCTCTCTACGTTCAAAAGTTTTTTAATCTTTCATTTTTCAACATTCTGGGGAGTTGAGAATCATAACGGCGTGGATCACGATAAAATTTATTTTAAAAAATTCATATTTATAAATCAATATTTAAGGAAAGTAAAATAACTTTCTTTCTATATTTATTTTTCTATTCAGTGTTAATTAATGTATTGAAATAATTTTTACAATAATTAAGTTAAAATAATTATAACACGTTACATTTATAACAATCGCGAAATTCATAAAGTAAGATTAGGTAACAGAGAAACTCGCGAAAAGTGATTTCGGATGTAATTGAAATGCACGTCAGCGTGATTCTGATTAATCGATCGATCGTTCGAGCAAACCAGCCGTAAATTTCGTCATCGATGATTCGCGATTCGTAGTCGCTTTTGTTAGTACATTGGAACAAACATTGCACAACTCGCATCATTCGATGCACACAGTCAGCCGAACATTGTGCTGGCCGAACAAGTTTGCTCGTGCGGCCTGTCACGATGTCTCTGCGCATGCGTCTTCCTTCGAGTTTACTGCTCTAATCTTCTACAAGATAGCTGCGCAATATTGAAACTATATGCAACGTCTACACCGTGCATAGATTATACAGTGTGCAAGCTTGGAACCAATTGATGAACGAATTTTTTTAAATTCCAAGATGAAAGATTTCTCATTTCGTGAGAAACGGATGAATCAATATATAATCCTGATTAC